GCCCCACACAATGTTCCTCATCCTCTTTGCCATTACATTGCACATAATAGTGTTTTATATATTGCAATTTGTTTTTTTAATTTGCTTAGACTTTATATGTGAATGAAGCAAGTGTCATAGTGTATAATGAACCAGCAGTTAATGGAGTTCTCCACATTATTAATCAGGTTTGTAATGAACAGTATTTGACAAAAACTGAAAGGTCCACTGATTAATCTCAGATAAGTTAGTATAATACATACTCCAAGTATCGGAATGCGCGCCATCAATGCAGAATCCTGATACGATGGCGTGCATTTCGATACTTGGAGTATGTATTATAGTATTTGAAAACATTTCACAAATGTACATTAAGGGGCCAGCTAAAGGAGGGCAGATACCTTTACTTGGTTTGCAAAAATATAGATAGTGTGGAAACTATTTAAATAGATTTTTTTTTGTAATCATTGGAAGGCTATTATCTATCTTGATATTTGATTGTATTATCAACATAACCTTATGGCTATGGTATGGTTTTCATCAGCCATTCATGCCCAGCAACATACATTTGTATAGCTCAATGTTTGAGTTCACAAATATAATAAATTAAAAACATTTTACAGGTGCTGGGCACAACAGCTGGTGTGTCATCTGGTGCAGGTGATATTTTGGAGGTTTTATCAGACTACCCATATTATTCAAGAATTAAAGAGATGCTAATTGTAAGTAAACTTATTTATGTTCCTTGGTTAGTTATTAGAATAAAACATCACACGCATAAGATTAGTTTAATTTTTCCTCAGTAATACATCAGTCATAAAAATCAATAATAAGTAATAATAAAGTCAATAAAAATTGTCTATATTCTATTTTTAATGTCTAATTATCTTGTACAGTTTTTATGTCACAACCTTATGGAAGAACACCATCATTTCTTTTTTGTGAACAAGCTTTAAATGTATATATTTTTTTTGTGATTTTGATGTGATTTTCTTTGAATTGTACTTTTTTGCAAGCCTTGTAATTTCTTCGTTTTTATTGGAGACAATAAATTTTATCTTGAAAAAAATAATCATGTAAAAAAAATTGTTATTGTATATTTTTCTTGAATAAAGAAAGCTTTTGATTGATTGATTGATGTTACAAGATTAGATCCTGATATACAGCTGTAAAGTGATACACACATGGCATCTTCTTGTTTCTAACACATGTGTTATATATTGATTTTCAGCATGCAATATAGAAAATTATAATTCTATTTTATTTTTAGTTAAAAACCATCACAATTTAACTGTCTATGATTCTGTTCTAAATATTTATTAACATTTTAATTGTAGAACACTGGTGTTGCTCAAATTTTACAAGAATTAGATTCGTACACAATGTTTATTCCAAGTAACAGCGCACTCATGGGGATTAACTTGGTAGGTTTTATACACTGCAGTGAGTCCATAAATGTAAACGTGTTCATATTTTAATGTCTTATTTTTTTTGTATGTGGATTATTTGGATATGAAGCACATGCTGGTGTCTTGTTACTCTGCAATAGATTATTCTAAATTTTGTTCAGGATTGATATATACTTTGCATTTTGTATCTCATAGAGTGAGCCTGATTTGAAGTATTCTATCATTGGTGGTCAGAAATTGTTCTTTGAGCAGCTAAATAATGGCTTGCGGTTAGAAACAATGCTTGGACAGAACTATGATGTCATTATCAGTGCTATTAATAGCAGCATGGTAAACTACACAATAAATTTCAAACTTAGAGTCTGTAACATTAGATAAAAGTATTAATATATATATTTAAAAATCTGAAGTATTCTTGAAACATAGTGGAGACCTAGCATATGAGGTTTGGAATTGTAAACTAGTAGTTAGCCCACCCAAATAAATAATCATTGTGTTTAAGTGAACTGTGATATAATAGTTTGGCCCACAGAAATACTTAATCATGATGTTTAAGTAAGGGTAGTTCTAGCAGCTAAGTGTTGGACCTGTAATATAGTAGTTTGGCTCACAAAAAATAATCACAGGGTCAGATGTGTACACTGAACCTCCTGTTTTAAGTCCTTATCCAAGAAGACTTGGAGACAACATCATGGGGTTAAGCAATGCAAGCTCTAAATGTTGAAACTATAATTTGAGGTTTGCCCTAATTTTACCTTAAAACAATACATCCAGAG